AACTAACTCCACGCCCCCCCCCCCCCCCCCTCCCCCCTCCCCACCGCAGACTCCTTCCCCACACAAGCGCACACATACTTTTTCATTTGTCTTTGTTTCCCCCTTCCTTTCCTTCTTCCCACGTTGCCCTCACTCAAGGCGCCCCCGTGTCCGCTGCAGACCTCACACGCATCCCGCACGGTTACGTTCACGCAAGCCTCTCACCGGCGCTGCGACAGAAGCGTCTGTCCTTTTCCTCCTAATTCCTCGTTTACGCCTTGGCGGCGCCCAGCTTGCCGTAGAAGTGCAGCAGAATGACGCTGAGGACGAAGAGCGCCGTTCCGACGATTACGGTTAGCGGCTGGATCTCAAACCCCGTCGGATCTAAGTCGTTCACGCCGGGGTGAGTTGCCATCTTCTTATGCATAGCCTTCATGACTCCCCGCCTTTGTCTGCTTGCCTGCTTGCTTTGCTATCTATCACCGCGCGGCTCACCACTTCCCCGCGGCGGGTGACAAGACGACGAAGACGACGAAGAAGAGACAGTTGTGTGTGTGGGGGGGGGGGGGAGGGGAGGGGGAGGGGGGGTGGAAGCCAATAAACAATGGAGCCGGGAAGGAAGAAAGGAAGGGAAGAAAGAACGCAAGTTGACTGCAAATGTACAAGCTAAGCATTTCGGTGCGTCGCCGGCAAAAAGAGAGCGACGCGGCGCACCCACCCACCCACCCCCCTCAGCGTGGGCGCCCATTACACTTCTGCACCCGCACACACACAGCCGCAGATACTTTTCTCTCCCCGCTTATGCAACGAAGTGAATCAAGGACACGAAGAAGAAGAAGAAAATAAATTTTAAAAAGGTACAACGGGCTCTACTGTACATGACCCAAAAAACGGCCAAAGAGGAAAGAAACAACCTAACAACATAAGGAGAAGAAGATATATATATATATATTCACTTTTTTTTTCCTTTTGCACTGACTCAAGGAGCTTGATGTGAGGAAGTTGCCGGCACCTCCTTCGCACTTGCGTCACCGTAAGAAGTTACTCCGATAGAAAGCTCAACTTCGTCTCCTCTCCGGGCTGCATTCGCGCTGCAGTGAGTTCGGCAATTTGATTCTCCTTATCAAGAATAATACGCAGAAGCTCCCTGCAGAGATCAGCCTCCCGCCCCGCAAGCTGATCGAATGCCTCCGGTGGAAGGGGCTGCAGCGCAAGGGCAGCCTCGGAAAGCGCCTCGGTGGAGGAGCGGCCACATGATAACGCATCGTACGCCAAGATGCCCGTCCTTTGCACGCTGGCGGCGGGAAGCGTCGTGTCTCGGGTGGCGCAGCTTGAGTGTCCTCCCTCCCGCTCCGTGTACTCCTCCGTCTCACGCTGCGTCCCCTCATCACACTCCTCACTGCCCCACGGCATTGCCCGTTTTGCAAGGTGTTCATCTTCCGCCTGACGCACCAAAAAGGAGTGGGCCTCATCCAAGTCCATGTCGGGAACCGCAGAAAGCGCGACAGATGGATCACTGACGTTGATGGTTGAGGTTGCGGTCACGTTCCCGACGGGTCCCTGCTCCGTTGGCCGCTCCTCACGACATGGACGGGAGGGTTGGGATTTTCCCCGAACAAGCGGAAACGTCGAGGCCGCCGCCCCGGAGATGTACTCCGCGTCTTCCCTTGACGCGGGCACGGGTGGCGGCTGGCGGCGTGGCGTTGGCGTTGGCGTCATGAGCGTGGACGTCGGCGAGTGTGCATCCGGCAAAAAATGCTCTCTGGTCTTTCCTGCAGCCGAATCTTTTCTTCTTAAAGGCGAGGCGGATGCAGCGGCAACAAGTTGAGAAGTCTCCAATTGATGCTTCAGAGCAAGACACATTTCTTGTGCAGCGTCCAATTCACTGCGTGTGTGGTCGTGGTTCAGCCGTTCCTGTTCCAACGCCATCCTTAGTCGCTCGAGTTCCTCCCTGTCTCGCTCATACGTCGCTAGCTGCTCTGACAAGGCACGCTTCTGCCACTCCATTTGCTCTTCTCGTTCCTTTGCGAGTTCCTCGGCGTAGCGACTTTCTATTCCCTGTAACTCTATCTGAAAACGTGACTCCAACTCTGCCCTCTCTGCCTGAAGTACACTAAGCTGCGACCGCAGTTCACTCAATTCAGTGTCCTGATCACGGAGCGTGGCGTGGCACACGCGCAAGTCACGTTGTAAATCAACATAATCTAGTATCGTCTGACGACTATGTATACAGTGCGCATCACGGCACGGTGCAGCTGCATCTGCATTTGTCTCCCCATTCTTCTTCTCTACATGTATAATCCTCTGTCCGTTAGAGGTTGGGCTGTCCTGATTCAATGCCGGAGGACACGATGCAGTCATCCGCCGAGACTGCTGTGTTCGGCACCGTCTCAATTCTATTGGCTCTGTGGCTATTTCGGCTGAGGAAATGTTCCGTTTTCCTTTCCTTCCTACCGTGCCTGCACACGGCATTATATCAGCCCGCGTAGATCCTTTTAGGGGACCAGACGACGCTAGAGCCGCTGAAACTGAAGCACCTGGGCCTTCGTGCAAGTCCTGACTCATGTCTCCTTCGAGGCTCTTTCTAGTGAGACCGGAGTCACGTCGTTTGTAGCGATCCATCAATGGAGCGATCCTTGGGGCGGTATCCCGATGAACCTTTATGTGGGGTGCCCCCCAAGAAGAAGTTCGCCCATTTCCACCGCCGAAGTCTGCACCGTACCCAGGCGGGGAGGCGTTTTTCAAACTTGGCTCCTCGGCGGGTGACGGCCCAGGCAACGCATCTCGCTTAAATAGCGTGGTGGGGTAATAGTTGTAGCCACCAAAGGGAGAATGATAAGGCGCTGCTGACTTCTGATCTTCACCAGTTGCAGGATCAGCATTAGTTTTATCTCCTACATCAAGGGGTTGTCGCGTAAATTGCCCTCTCATTGTTAGTTCCTCTTTTTTTTTCTGGAAAAAGAGAAGGCAAAAACGTCAAATCCTGAGAAACATCTCAACAGCATACATGTCTTCATTCTCCTCACCACGGAAACACCAAAGACATACGTGTCAAGCAGCAATTGGACTGCTACTTAGGAACTCAGTTTTTCCTCCCCACCCACGCACACCCGGTTCTTTTGTATCCCTTTATTTTTTTTTCTCTCACCTTTGCTTCTCTTCTAGCCACAACCACTGTCGGCCCAACTCCCACCCACCCCCTCCAAAGAAAAACAAAACAAAACAAAACAAAACAAAAAAAATTTCTTCTCTCAGCTTTCCTCATTTAAGCAGCTTCAAAATGCAATTCTCTTCACAGGTGGGATCGCTCATTAAACAACCCAATAAGGCCATTTGTGGAGGAATCGTGGTTCGAAACACTTTTGCCGGGCTGAAGTTGCGGAAGAATAGATTTGGCCAGTACCTTCCCCAGTTCCACGCCCCACTGATCGTAGCTGTTAATCCCCCAAATCGCTCCTTGGACAAGAACCTTGTGCTCATACATAGCAAGTATGGCGCCCAATGCCCGTGGAGTGAGCGCCTTGACCAACAAAGAGTTACTTGGGCGGCCCCCAGTGAAAGTTTTGTGTGGTATCAAGGAATGAATCGCAGACTCAGAACTTCCTCCAGCTGCCTTTAGTTCTCGTTCAACCTCGTCAGGGGTTTTGCCAAGCATCAGTGCCTCCGTCTGGGCAAAATAGTTGCTCATCAAAATCCGGTGGTGATCTCCAATACGGTTTTGCGTTTGTATTGCGCCAATAAAATCGCACGGAATCAGCTTTGTCCCTTGGTGAATAAGTTGATAAAAGGCATGTTGGCCGTTCGTACCGGCTTCCCCAAATATAATAGGGCCAGTATGCGTTGCTACCACTCGTCCATTCTTGGTAGCGCCCTTTCCATTGCTTTCCATGTCAAGTTGTTGCAGGTAAGCTGGTAGCCTCCATAGGTACTGATCGTAGGGCAGGATTGCGTGAGTTTCAGCGCCGAAGAAGTTGTTGTACCAAATACCAACCAAAGCCAGAATAATAGGCAGATTGTTTTCAGTAGGCGCATTGATAAAGTGTTCATCCATCACATGCGCACCAGTTAACAACTCCACAAAGTTGTCGTATCCAATTGAGATCATGACAGATAAACCGATGGCGGACCACAATGAGTACCGACCACCAACCCAGTCCCAGAATTGAAACATATTTGCTTCATCAATACCAAACTCCTTGACTTTTTCGGTATTCGTTGAGAGTGCAACAAAGTGCTTCGCAACAGCACCGGCTTCTGGAATACCTCGAGATCTCAGGAATTTCAAAAACTCATTTCGTGCCGACAGGGCGTTTGTAATGGTCTCTTGTGTAGTAAAGGTTTTACTGGCGATGATAAAAAGGGTAGATTCCAAGTCGACCAATTTCAACACTTCAGATAAGTGGGTTCCATCAATATTGGAAACAAAATGCATGGATATGTTGCGATCTGAAAATTGCTTCAACGCTTCACATGCCATCATAGGGCCCAGATCACTGCCTCCAATCCCAATGTTTACAACATGACGAATAGACTTTCCTGACTGACCTTTCCAGTCACCACTTCGAACCTTTTCTGACATTGTCCGCATCTGTTCAAGAACTTTGTTTACCAGAGGCATAACGTCCCGGCCGTGAACGAAAATAGGACGATTGCTGCGATTACGCAAAGCAATATGCAGCACCGAACGGCCTTCGGTCGTATTGACCCTCTCGCCATTAAACATTGCCCGCATAAATGCACGAACGCCTCTTTCTTCAACCAACTTGCACAGGGTGTCTTTTATTTCATCATTCATATGAGTCTTTGAGTAATCCAGAAACAGAAAGTTTTTGTCATCGCCCTTCAAATCCACCTCCAGTGAGTAGCGCGTAAACCGATCTTTGTCATCCTCAAAATGCTGTAAGATAGATTCATCCCCGTGGAGTTCATACAATTCTTGAAGACGACGCCAAGAGGGGCTTGTGATCAAGCTTTTGTCAGCCTTAACACCAAGTGTCCTCATCCTTCGTGTTATTTCATACGGCAAATTAAAAGTGGCAACGGCCATGCTGGCATTTGTGGTTGCGGCATGACCTTCGTTCACGTGGGCAACTAACCCCTCGAGGTATTTATCGCCCATATTGGCTCTTTTTGGCCCTTTTGCTTTTGACTATTACGTTTGTGTATTGCTTGTATGTTTGAAAAACAGCCTTTATATTGACTTCTTTTTGAGATTCCCCCCCCCCCCAAATTTATTGTTGTTATTAATATTATTTGGTGGAGAGAGTAAAAAAGAGACATACAGAGAGTAACAGGGAAGAACGGCCACCTCTCCATTAAATTAGTGCGTGGGGAAGCGGGGCTTTGTATGGGTTCATTTACGGAAGAAGAAGAAAAAAAAACAGATCTGCAAATATGATCCTACACGCATACAAAAAAAAGACGGGCAAATAATAAAACAACCTAACAAATTTGTTTGATGATGTTTGCCTTTTCCTCCCCTTTTTCTGTCTCGCCCAAAATGTTTTAGCGTATGCCAAGAGCTCTGGTAATTTTCTCAAGGACAAAGTCCTTTTCGGCGTCGTAGATGCCCCCTTTACTTGGAATCTCAAGAACACATGGAATAGGTTCTTTATGCTCTTCAATCAAGTGACGAATATCATTTGCTATGTGCTGACATATCACGATGATACCAATTGCGTCATTGGCACACATATTGGTAAAAGCCACCTCTATATCTGCCAGAGGTGTATTCGGATTAACAACTATGTAGTTCGGTTGTACAACGTTGTTTTTCTCACCGCCCCCCTCATTCACAGTCGCCCGGTTATCCCCAGTACCCGCCAAAAGAAAACCAGTGACGGTGTCCTCATCTCCAATAATGCCGACGATAAGCTCATCACCGTTCTTGTAACGAGCTGCAGTCATGTTTGGCGTCAGAACCTCTGCAGAATGTTAAGGAGATAAATAATTTTAAAAGAAAGGGAGGAAAAAAGTAGTGGATGAAGGAAGGAAATTTTCGTCTGAAATAATCGGCATAAAAGCACGAAGGTGAGTAAAGCAAAAACAAAAATAAAATAAAGCGGAGAAGAGAGCGTTTTCAACAAAGCAAAAATAATAATAATAGTGATAATGATAATAAAGCCCCCCTTGCAGCTATTCACCACGAAAGGCAGGTAACTTTGAATCCCATTCAAGGTATTTGGGTTCTTTCTGTTGTCGAGCGCCAAAATCGTCTCGCAGCAATTCGAGCGAAAGTCGAACCATATCGCCCACCTCCGCATTCTCATCAACGGCGCCCTGAAGTTCAACGGCATTTGCGTCGTATTTCAAAGGAGTGGCGGCCAAGAGTTGGTTAAGAAGCAAATCCTCATCAACGAGAAACATCGCCTCCTCCCCCATACGCAAGCCTTGGCGCCTGGCCATAAACTCCGTTTTTGACTCCTCAACCAATGAAAAGAAGCCATTCAGTCGTTCTTCAGCTCTTCCATCCTTGTTAAATGAAAGAAAAGTCCGACGCATCGTACTGGATGAAAAGGAAAAAAAAAGGAAATTTAAAACCCGAAAACTAAAAAATCTCAGTTAACCCACTGGTATATATAGATATATATATAACTAAAACCACAAAAAAATTAAGTAATGCAATGGCCTCAGCCAGCATAAGGGCCGTATTTCCCATATTTGGAGGGGCAAGTCATCCTCGCATACTCAGTAGAGATGCCTAGCGGTCGTAACGATCGGGCAGACGGAGCCACTGCACTTTTTGCTGAGGTGAAGTCACCTGAGTTTTCCTAAAACGAGCCACTGGGCATTCCACCATTACTTGCTGTCCCAGCTGTTCTATTTGTTTTGGTGTCGCATTAGGGGCATCCACAAAAACATTTATGCCCCCTTGGGGTGTCTGTTCAAAACGAATGTCTCGAATATCAATTCCTTGACGTCGTGCAATGTCACGTGCATGAGCCTCGCTACACCATTCCAGAGCCTTGTCAAACAGTCCGCCAAATGGGCCGCCAAACGGGCCGCCTCCTTTTCCTCCTTCGGAACCTTTACCACCCCCAAATGAACCGGACCCCTGAGAACCTGACGAAAAGCCGCCCGAAAAGGTTGTCGGCAACCCTCCTGTTGAAAAAGATCCGAAACTAAATCCAGTATTTGGAAACGAAACTCCTCCTATACCTTTTGAATTGCATCCTTTATTACAATCTTGTATTTTACTTCCAAATAAAGAAGAAAGCCCTTTTGAGATATCAAATCCTTTAAAACAGCGAACGGTCGTGAATTGTATCATATGTATTTGCTAATTACTCTCCTGCTATGCACTAACTACTGAGTAGAAATAGAATAAATACAAGCATACGCGTCCAATAACAGAGCAAACTCATAACAATTACTGCGGCGCCGTTATCACCTGACTGTGAATATTATTATTATTAATATTATTAAGACAAGGCGTGAAAAAAGACAAGCCATCTGTTCGTACAACTAACGCACCAGCGACAAGAGAAGAGAGTAACCATAACAAAAGCACGGCGCCAGAGACGCGGCAAGAAGAAATTTCGACTTCCTCGGAAGGAACTCCTCACCCAAAAGACCCAACCCAAAATCTCCCAGTAAAAAAAAGTCAAACAGCCATCCGCGCTGACGGCGCGCCGCCCACATGACATTCCCAACAACGAGGGGCTGGACCGGCACACGCGCTCTCACGCGAAACGCGCCCCATCCAAACCGCCGCCACGGCAATACACGCGCGGAGGAGCGCCGCGGAAGAAGACTTGCCCGCGGTCCTGGCGCGGCCGCGCGCAGCCCTACGCGACGCCGGCCCCGCGTCTTCTTTAGAGGCGTAACCTCGCGGCCACTCGAACGGCGTCGCCCTTCCCGCCGGCCACCCGCGCGCGGGGAGACGCGCAACGCCACCGTGGAGTTTGTTGGGCCGTGCGCGGGCACGGGGCCCGCCGCGGCTGGCCCGCCGCGCATTCCACGGCCGGGAAGGTGGCGCGAACGAGAACCCGTCGTCAACAACCCCGGCCGCCGCGGCCCCCGCACAGGCGCGCGCGGCTTCTCCGCTTCTTCGACGCCGCCCGCGCGGCGCGCACAACAGCGGCTCGAGCTCCGCAACGGCGGTTTGCCCACGCGAGGGCGGGGCAGAGGCGCCACCTGGAGCGAGGCCCGCCACGCCCGCCCTCGCCCCCGTCCGACCGCGAAGCAGAAACACGGCGGCGAGGCAACCGGCCCACCTCCTATGGGAGCGGTCGAGCACCGCGCGTTAAAGGCGAAGAGCCGGCACGGAATCACGGCTCCGGGGGAAGGTCGGCGCCCCAGCCACCCCCGCAGGGGCGAAACCCACAGCGAAGCGCCACGACACCCTTCGACGTGGAGCCTCCGGCCACTTCCGCGCCGCCCCTGCCACAGCTGGAGGCCCGGCGCACTTCCGGCCGAGTTGTTATTTCCCGATGGAAATTCCGGCCTCTCGCTGTCAGCAGCCCGAGGGCTGCCCGCGAGAACCGGGCCACTTTAGCCGTCTCTAACGGAGCGGGCCGGCGGGTCGGGGCCTCCCCAAAAAACACTCGCACGCTCAGCCGACGGAGAAGAGGCACTCCCACAGCAGATGCGACAAGGTCTCCCGGGGCCCGTCCGGGGTCACATCGGCCTGTGGGTTCTGTGCCGTGAGGATCCCATAAGGGTGAGGGTCCTCCGGGCCTTCCGCAACGGTGCCCCGCGCGCTTTTTGCCAGCTGGTACGCCTGGCATTTACGGTAATGACCCGCGCGCGAGGCACTCGTCACGAATAGTTTGCCGCTCCCGCAGTAGCCGCACTGGAGGCCCTCCTGGAGAAGCGGACTCCTGCGTGAACGCGACGGGCGTGCAGCTTCATGTTTGCAATAGATACGAACACCCTGCAGCATACGGGGCAGGGGGGGTGTCGGGTCTGCCGCGCATCATCCGGCGGGCGGGCAC